GTGTATCACTAAGCAAGCCCTTAAGTGGAATCCGTACAACAGTCGTCGGCTAGGCGCTCCTTTCGGAACGTGGTGAAGGACAATTGATGCTGAACTAACATCAGCCGTTACTCATGGAACGACACCTGCATAGCAACTTCAAATAGGATACGGTTCAGAGGAATTGTTGAGGTCCTATGCTCCACTAGGAGTTAATAGAAAAAAGAAGAAGAAGATTAAGTAGAATGTACACAGGTTTCTTTAACTTATATTAAAGTAATGCAAATTGAAATCTTTATACGAGTATAAAAGGTTATCCAATTTGTGATACACGATATACGAGGCATCTAGATTATTCGGCAAACATTTTCCAGAATCAAGAATCTTGGAACGGAGGGAAAGTTCTTAAACCAAAATACTTAAAATATATGAAATGCTATAATCGCTAATTCTCTTGTCATTACTGGTCCTATGATCTCTATAAAAATATGATTTTTGGTGACTTCATGGTCAGCACAAGGTACGAAAATTTCAATCAGTATAAAAATATCATCCAAAATATATCTTTAAACAACAAAAAATTACAATATTTCCTATTACAATTTAAAATAGGAAAATATATGAATATAGGAAAAACGGAAAAAATAAAAATTTCAATTTGTCAATTATCAAAATATCCAAAAATAATTTCACTCGATATGAGTCAAGCACTCGTGTGTATATCACAAGCAACAAATTAAATTTTGCCACAATTTCGTTTTAGATTTTAGAACTTTTGTGTGTTGTCTGTCAAGCGAAGGAAGACAGATACGCCTGTGAACAATCAAATGGCAGTAATTACACTTTGGAATTGGATCAACGCGATCACAATTTAGAATGGAGCAGAATCACATCGCAGCACAGAGTTGAGATGCCAAGGAATGCAAAAGAAAAACCCGAACATCGGATTCTGTTCCAATTTAAAGTGGCTAATTTTAGAAAAATGATTTTCAATTCTCCGATTGTGCAACTCTACGTTTTATACTTCCATACTTCCACCGATATACGCATACATACAGATACAGATACACATACATACACTCGGTAGTTCATAGTATATATGCAATATTTTTCTACACATCTAATTGATTCCCTTCGAAATTTGTTCCGATGGATAGAGCCATTATTAAAAATCGAACGTATTAATAAAATTTTAATATTTATCAAAATATGCGCACATGTGGCCCCGGGTGCCAGTGAACGGGGCTGAGTGAGTGAGGAAGTAAGCGTTTCGGCCATGTGGAATTTGTTTAATAAATTCACTTGACATCGAAATGTGATGGAAATGATTTTCATATTTTATACAATTTGACTGTAATTTGATTTCGTTATTCCTATAGCGCATTTCTCATTCCTTTCTTTTTAGATTTTTTTGGTGCTCAATCCATTTTCAGTTGCTTGGAAGTTGGCACTACCCAAAGGGTGAGATACTGGAAAACTTATTGATTGTTTATACAATAATTTCTATTCTTTGGCATTAGCAATAATAAATTAATAATTTTCGAATGTTTTTTGTACAATGTTTATTTATAATTAATATTTTTTATGGTTGTAAATTATTTACCAGAAATAAATTTGGTTGAAATCACTTAGATTTATTGTTATGCTTGTTTACTTTAAAAAAGTTTTGCAATTAAAGAGAATTTAATCATTTCAATAATACGGGACAAATTCAGATTTCTTAAAGTTTTCTTTAAAAAAAAAAAATAAATTTTAATGAAGCAAACATATATCATACAAATATTCCATATAGTTTTATACTTTTATACTCTTATACAAAAATCATCCATCCGCTATCTTCATCATTATATCAAGACGAATCGATGAAACAATATTCGTATCCATCTGTCCCTCTGTGATTTCTCTGGCTGTATGTATGTATACCTACATGTAATATATGTATGTATATCTAGATGCCTACTACAATTTAATCTAGTCCATTCGTTTCCACGCTAGAGAAGTGAAACTTTGAACAAGTACTTTTTGTGAGTGCATGTAAGTAAGATAGACATGGAGAGAATTGATTGATTTCATGAAAATAATAACCGACAATGAAGTTATCACATTTTAAGTTTGTATTACTATTTTTCTGTACTGAAAATAAGATTTATATATTTAGCCTAAGCCCGAATTGAAAGTTCATCTAAAATAGTTGTTCATTTGGTAAAGAGAAGCAACTAAAAAAAGATATATAAAAGGTAACTATTGTAAGGTAATCAGACGTCATTTGACATATCTTTTGCATACAACAATTAATCTCGGTGCAACTACCAGCAAAAAAAAGCTGATGTTGTGAGATACATTAGTTTTTATTTAGTCTAAGTGACAACATTTCCACCCGTGTATTTCTTTCGCCATTGTATATCGAGCCTTATTGTGCTGAAACATTATATACAAAGTGTAATTGAATAATAAAATTAATTGTATATGTTCTCTTAACATTTTTTTTAAATTATAATACGTGTATTATATATATTAGTACAATAATTAGCAATGAAAACGCAATTGCAATCTTAGCCCGCTTTTCAAAACATCAAATTAATTCAAAAAAAGAAACCTGGGTTTGAGATATAAACCCAACTTGATCTATAATATTCTTCAGTAGACACTAAATTTTGGTTGGTGACACCACAATATAATACAAGAACAATACAACATGTACTCAACATCTGTCGAAAGTTGTGAGATCTGAGGTAACCAGAAAAATATATATTTATATCGACATCTATCTCCTTGTTATAAAAAACACCATTAAATTTAACAAAATGTGTTAATGTTTCTAGCCAAATCGTGGTCCTTAGTTTAATATTTGATCCGTAGTATTAAATCAAGCGAAATTTACAATTCTAATATTTTTGTTGTCGATATTGTAGAAAATAAATAGCTGGGATTGACGTTGCTTAATCCTTCTAGTTACTTGAAATTATCTGTAGAGTCAGATACTATTTTTTAAAATTGTGAATCAAAAAAGAATTTAAGCTCTCTACATATTGTAATTATCCTCACAAAAAAAGGATTTTATCTATAGTAACAACACTTAATAATTTTTTAGAAAAATATACCTATACATCATAGATTACATTACATATACCTGATTCATAGATTTAGCTTTGGGTCGGATTTCTTTCATATATGTGGGGTTGGCAATGCTGTGAACAAAGAGACGGCAGTGAGGACGAAACCTTCGACGAAGCAAGTCAAACAAATTTTACTCTTGTGTGTAAATAAATTTATATTTTGTATTTTGTTTAATAAACTGTATTTAATAAATTATATTGAAATTGAATCCACATATATGTTAAGAATTCATCAATAAAAATTTCCAAATTAGATCCATGTTTATACTATATAAAATATTTGCAAACAAATATTTTCCGCTGCATCATTGGTAACCCTGGGTTGTGTAGCATAGTTTACATATAATTAGATACTGGTATCTAGTATGTGTACATATATATATATATATATATATATATGATTCTGTTGCATTAAATTTCCATTAAAGTGGACTTTATTTTCATTCTGCGAAATTTGGGTAGTTAAAGATGACCTGCTGCATAATAGTGGTGTAGTAGACTCAGTTACCTGAAGTGATGTAGAAATATTAATATTGAATACTTGAATTGTATAGCAGAGCATTTAGGTTTTTATTCCTGGACACATAGACATGAAATTCCAGTTAATTTCAATAATTGAAAAAAAAAAAAATTGTTAAATGCATTCATGCATCCGTCATGTAGAACATTCGCTAATCGAATTAGTTAAACCGAAAGAATTCATTTTATAGAGAATAATAGTCTTCAATTATTATTCTTTAAAAAAAATTTTTTATTGTAGAACAAGATATTTTATTTCTTTAGTTCTTTTTCTTCTTAATTGTTTACATGCTTTCTCTTATAGGCCTTTTAAGAACATATTTTTAGTGTAACCTAAAAAAGTTAGTGTATTTTCTGTGATCATTAAGTGTTTTACAACATATTTCTGCTGCATTTTAGGTGTTAGGTTCCATTTCATATTCTCTTTTTCTGCATATTTTAAAAGTCAAATTCTATATATATAACGAAATTCATATTCATTATAAAGAAATATAATTATAGAATTTTTTCATTCGGTAAATTGAATACTTGTAAATTTGAGTTTTCATTATACTGGATGTCTATAACATGTACATCATAACTAGTGAATTCACTAGCTGCCAAATCAATTAAATTATTATGAAATTATTTATATCATAATTATATTATTATCGTTCTAAATAAAAGAGTAATAATCTCTTAAATACACCTCAACTATCTACAAATAGAAATATTTTTTTAGCATTATTTGGAAAATTACTAATAGAAGTGTTCTATTGAATAATTTTATATGTTCATACTAACTTTTTTAACCCATTTATTAAAATTGATTTACTCAGAATATATTTTTCAAATACGAAGTGTGAAAAAAAGTTCAGTCATCTTCCCTGTATTATTCTAAAGAATACAACTCCGTAATTAAAAATTTATTCACAGATCCACTTTTAACAGACATGACTCACTGAGATATGGCTAAGAAGAACTTCGATACTTCCAAACCTTCGACCAAAAGTTTTAAAATTAAAACAAATATATTTCCATTTAAAAATTCATTGTTTTATTTATCATAGTTTTTGTTTTTCACTAAATTCTGTTAATATTAATTTTAAATTTAATGATCTTACAACTAAAACAGTTCAACTTTGTTCAAACACAAGCTTAGTAATGTAGGATATGTTACATAAAATACACAAGTATTTCCATTAATAATTACATTAAATAAAAATTATTATATATAAATTATAAAATTATAAAAATAATAACCATTTATATATAGTATAATTATGCACTGCTTAAAAAACCGTATACTTTAGTATATTTTGATTAAATGTTTAATTATTACAAAAATAGGAATCAAATGGTTAAATACATAAAATCTAGAAGCACTTAAATTAGATTAAATAAAAACAATATAAACTAATTTTTAAAAAAATTAATAAAAATTAAATATTTGAAAAAAACACAGAAGAGAAGAAACCTCTCTATTGCACATTGGCTTTTTGTAGCGAGGAGTGCGTTCATTTAAGAGTAAAAATACTTTCTTTGAATACTTTTGTAGGTAAGACGATGGATACAAATATATCAAATTTACAAATAAATTATACACACATAAATGCATTAAAATTGCATTTCGAATAAAAATATTTACATAATTAAACACATTGCAAGTGCACAACAAGGAAGGCAATGAACAGCCGTTGCAGGTGTTCAGCCGAGACTTAAACCGAAATTGCGTTCGTCGAGATTTCGTTGTACTGAGTTTTGAGATTGTTGTTCATGAGCATGGAACGGTAGACTTCGGAGAGTAAATTCCACATGGGCGGCGCTGGATGTGTTGTGGCATCTGTGGTTGGTGCGGTCGGCATGGGTGAGGTGCGGGTATCAGCGGAGTCTGCTTGGTTTGCAGCAGCTGCTGCAGCAGCGGCAGCGAACATTTGTGATTGGAGTAAACGCAAGCGCTGCTCTTCCGGTGATAAAGGCGATATTGATGCAGGTAACGGGATGGTAGTGTGTGATTTCTTCAGTTGAGAAGAGAGATCGAGGCAGCTTATTGTTGGTACTTCTTCGTTCGTTAGTTCCATTTTAACTGTGACTGGTGAACTACTCGACAATTCCGTTTCACTTTTGGTACGTTTTCGCTTACCCAATAAGCAGTCAACTGAAAAGTTTCCGCTTAGTTTTGATGAATTACTTTGAGTTGGACTCTTGCAATCATTACTATTACTAGACATAGTTATGTTACTTGGACTTAGGCATTCAGCTGCATGACGCTTGTGTAGACTAAAATCAAGTGGCTCGTTTGAGTCATCCGTATGCATTGCTGGTTCTTCTTCAATTGAAACTGAAATCAATTCTTCATCCTCATCGTCTTCATCTATTTCGCGGCAATAATCTTCAATATCACTATGACTACCCTGACTAGTACTCGAACCATTTGTATGCACGTCTAATATGTAACCATCATCTTCATCTGCATCTGAAGAATATGAACCAGTTGAATCATTACGTACACCGAACACGTGTTCCTGTTTCATGAACATATGCGGCATATTTGTGCTTGGCTGTGGGGCAAATTCGCCAAACATTGCTGCTGCTGGATGTGGGTGATAACCGGTTGGTGGCATTAAGCCCGGAAATGCGGGCAAACCAGCGGCAGAAGGCATTAGACCGGCAGGTGACAACGGAAAGACAGGAAACTGTTGTGCGGTGCGGCCATCGTGAGGTGAAATTTTGCGTCGTATGTGTGGTGAGTGCAGTTTTGGGTTGGGATTTGCGCTGTGGCGATTACGTGAACGCCGCGAGCTGAACACCATGTTGCAACCCTCAACAGTGCATTTATGCATTTCACGCAAGTGTACCGCAGAAAAATGTATCTTTAATGCTCCCTTGTCGCAGAAGGTCTTAAAGCAAATAGAGCATTGCACGCGCTTTTTACCAGTGGCGGGATTAATGAATTGACCAGCCATGTTAACGGGTGGAGAACCCCAACGTTTAGGTTTCGTTAGTGCCGCAGCGATGGGAGATGTTGCAGGCGATGTTGTTGCTGATGAGGAAGACAATGCGGCATTTGTGGGATGACCAAGCAAATATGTTGGTGGTATGAAAGCTGACATAAGATGCTCCATTTTAGTGACTGTAGAATTTTTGTTTTGAAAATGTCAGACCGTAACTGTCAGAACTGCAAAGAGAAGAAACATAAAAGTGGTTATTAACATAGTAATTGTAAGATGATGTTATAATAAATAATAATTAAATGTATGCTTCAAATAACTTATGTACTTAATTTAAAAAAATAAAATGATATTTTGTACGACAGCTCACAATTTCCGTCACTTAAGTGTCCTAAGATTTGTAGTTTGTAGCAATTCAACTAATCTTGATTGACTTTCTCAAGTGCCCTAGAGTGTACGGAATGAATGGTAATAGTTGTTCACTTGCCATACGTCTGTTTGTGGTACATATGCGCACAATTAGACTAAATGACATTTAATCTAAAAGCCGCGTTTAATTGAAGAAATATAAATCTGGGCACTTCCTTGTGTCAAACTGCTCAAGAACTAATGAACTCAAGACTAAGACACTGAAAGATTTGCAGTATGTGTACGTGGAATGCATGAAACTAATTATGCTGCCAACGGATTTCTTTCCATTTTATTTATAGAAGAAAGAATTATATACTATCTTCATATGTAGTTGGTATATACTTTGTTGATTACATGGAAAAAACTTGTTTAAGTCTTTTGACCAAAATTAGGTGCAATATTGTTTATAACCTAAAGTGGCAATAATCCGCATTAAGTGCTAAAAATTGTTCCTTTTTGATTTTTTTTTTTGCATGATCAATCAAACATTGAATCGTTGCGAGTGGAGGCAAAAGCTGGATAAGCGAACAATCGGGACGGGACAACTGTCATAAATTCATGTTATGCAAGGTAAAAATATGTGGAAATTGGACATAATTCATTTTTAGTGCTTTGCCAAAGGAAGTTCTGTGTATGTCCAAGTTGTGCATTGTCACATGTGAGAAACGCACAACCACGCGATCAGTTCGCGATCGGTATAAAAGGATCAAGAGTACAATAAAAGCGCTGAATCAAGGACAAAATTGAACAATAAATGTCCACAAGTTTAAAGAACTTCACGTTCAAATCTGAGGTAGATTATCTTTGAGAATTCTTAAAGCAATCTTAGCACACATAATAACTGCTTAGCGATCGACAACAAAAACAAGTCATAAATTCAAGTGGTATTCCAGTTGGATCTCATAACCTTACGGACAGAAGAAATATGAACATGAAACGCCTTTCTTGTCATTTCTGTATGATGTTTATTATGAGTGCAAAATGCAGTGTCCTTTTTGAAGATTTTATTTTTTTACGAATGTATACTCATAAAAACTCGTACGTATTCTTATTGAATTTCTCTACTCAATGGTGTTGTTGATGACGGTGTTGATGTTGACAACAAAAAAGGGGGAAATAAAATGATCAGTTGTACATGCGATATATATCTATGGAGTGTACAAAAAGTATATAATTATGGTTATTTTATTTGATTTCTTTTTTCAACCGAAATTCTTTATAATTTGTTATATTGATTGTGACAATGACAGTCGAAAGACAAAATCTGTAGAGGAAGCAGCACAGCACAACTCGTTTGTAATTATGGTTATTATAGATGATTATGAGACGTTCATTTTCTTCATTTTATACATATACATATGAACATACAAATATACAAGTAAAATAGTTTCATTTAATGCCAATAGTGAATGAGAACGAATCTCTTGCCATTGATCAGAATCTTAAACTTAAATTGAACTTAATTACTCGCTTCTCATTAATTACAAATTACACATATAAAGTAGACAGTTCGTGTACCTTTTTAACTACAACATCAATTAAAAAAATCTAAGTAATTCTTATGTCATTAAATCAATTTTAAAACGAAATCAAAGAAATTTCTTGTTTCTTTTTTTCAGATTTCAAGTGAAGGTGAAAGATTTCTCAAACACATGCTGTGCCTGTACAACTTCAAGTTTGTCACCTCAACGATTGAATATCTTTTTTATGATTTAAAAGAATTTTTTAATTTGTATTTTACACGCGCAAACACAAGACATAACAATTTAATGATCGTCGTAAGTCGGTCCCAAAATCGGAGTTGACATTTAAACTACAACCGATGAACGCACCATCAAATACTGTACATGACATCTACAAGACAGTAGTGCTGTATTGTGCCCAATTCACAAAAGAAAATCACCAAAAATACGACATTTTAGTCGTAATTCTTTCCAACGTGTATTTCATCAATCTTAAATGCTGATTTATGATCTGTTCTGAAGATGTCATCGTACGCGCAAAGCGATCATCATTAACATTTAGATTGGTTTTCTGATTTCAGTTTACAACATTTAGGATTTTGCTTCTTTAATTGTTACAAAGGTTAAATGACTCTTTCTGTAACTGGTAACTGGTAACTAGTAACTAGTAACTGGTAACTGGAATAGTCAAGCTGCCCATAAGTCCGCCAAAGTTAACAACATGCGACATCGATCTTACGTCAAATAAATTAAAAGCCATGTAAAAGTCGAAGACACTGAAAAAAGAATCTTTTGTCCCACCGACTTGGGTTGTTAAATCGGTAAGTGGTTTCTTTTTTGGATTTGACATGTTTGCTGTTTGTGTAAGTAAACTCTTGTATTTGTACTATTTTTAACTTTAGATACTGTGTCTGTATGTATCTGTATAGATACTGTATCTATAAATTAATCAGAAATGGGTTATAAAATTTGGCGACAACCACATAGAACACAGAGGCGGTAACATATGTTGGAATTAAATTAAGCTGAGATAAAAAAAAATTGGGACATGAAGCTTAAATAATGGACACAGAATGTTTTAGGAAAACTGCAATTGCCACAAAATCTTGCAATTAATATTATATTAATAAATAGTTATAATTCATACCAGTTCATAAAAGCTAATAATACAAAAATATAAATTTCTAAAGTTGATTCACCAATGACAGTGAATATCACAAAAAGCGCTAGATGTGTTGTTCAACTATATAGATTCCCGCTGCACTTCGTCTACAGTAGTTAGATTTGGACACACACATACAAATTTTCGTTAGCAATTGAAGTTTGGAAATAATACTTATTTGCCTTCGAACATGAAATCTTGACAAAGTCTGGCCAGTGTAGATACCAAATTCATATATTCAATGTTCTGATTAATAATATAAAATCTTAACTATATTTAAATATTAAATCTGACCTTCATGCGAATGTAGAGTGGGTGGTAGCCTAAATCTAACCCACTTAGAGTTCAATAAATCGGCCAATTGTGATAAATCAGTATATAAATGTAATTATGAAATAAAATAGTAATTAGTCTACATCTATTAAGAAAGGTGAAACTTTTATTTGAATCTAACAACAATAAAAGCATGGATTACTACGCCATAACTTCAGCTTGAAAAATGCACTATATCTCATGCTTATTATTTCCATTCAGTAAAATAATTATTTTATCAATTGAGAAATTAATACAGAATATCGGTTACACCATTCGCTGGCGAAATTAATCACCAGTCGAGTTTAAGAATGACAGTACCACGATTCATAAGCTAATATGAATGATAAATTCACTTGGTTGTTGTGCTATATAAATTAAGTTTTTATTACAACTCTACTTACGTTCAAATAATTTATAACCATCACCTTTACATAGCCCATATATTGTACAAAATCAATTTAATTATTGCATACAGCCCTATTTCTTTCTGCAATCCAACCAAGTAACATGATTTTCATTGAACTCGCACATAAAGTGACGTCAATAAACAACATATATCTTAGTGGTAATCTTATGGATCATAAATACCCTACCACTGACTTTCTGATAGCACATCTCGCATCAATTTCGAAGTCTTCAATGTCAAATTAGAAAACACAAATAGAAAATACGAGAGCAGAGCGCTTACAGATTTTACGAGCCCATTAGAAAGATAAATTAACAACAATAACTACAGATGCAAAAAAATAGTAGCAATAATAGAGATCCATAGGAGCAGTCAAAGCAGTCAAAGCTGTGGTCAAATGTGTTTTAAACTGATTTCTACGGCACAACATGAAGTCTTGACCATAAACCAAAGACGACGACGACGACGACATTTTCATAGACAAAAACAAACAAACTTCAAGCGTAGGCCACTGTTGAGCTTAGATAGATTGAGAAAAAATGAGCCAAACTATATCTTTATGCCTTTTTTAATCTTTTTTTTGTCTTGAAATGTCATAAAATGTGAAAACCAGTAGTAAAGTTCGTAATTACTGCAAGATAAAATTAAACGAAATATAATAATGAAACGAAAAAAGAATGAAATAATAAAAGATAGGTGTATTGAACGGTGTAGTGCCCATGGTGAACAAAATTGTTTTTAATGACATGAACTTTAAATAAGTTTTGCTCCGAGATTAATTATTACCGCAGATACAGATACAAACTATCTTCCAGTTCATTGTACTTGTGATTGGACTGCTGACTGCTGAATGCTGACTGTTGAATGCATTCAAAGACATAAGACATAAAAATTATTGGCAACGTGAGGAGCTTGAGAGGAGTTCGAGAGGTGAGGAGCGTGCTTTCTTTCCGTTCTTGACTAGTTAATACGGGCGGCTAACTATGAGTTTAGTACTCGCTTCTAATTGCTTTTATGCAACTGCCAATAATTAAATTCTGCCGTCCAGCCAGTCTGCCATTTTGCCATTTTGCCACTCTTCCATTTATGATTTGCATCGCAATTAGATTTTTATTGCACTGAATTAACAATGATTTCGACTACGACTCCGAATCTGATAAATAATTTCAAGCCACTCACATGTGGTAGGAGTGATTTGAGATTTTTTTTCAATTACATATTTAAAATTCTATAAAAAATGGCAATTTTCTGTGATTGAGGACTTTTGACAGTTTTATATTGATTTTTGATTAATTTATAGAATAAATGTTTTATAAGCTATTAATATATAAGCTATCAATTTTTTTATTTATATTATATTATTATTATTATTATTCATATTTCTACAATGCATAGAAATCAATTTTTTTTATCACGAAACTGTTCAAACTTTTTTATTTTTTTGATATGCTAATGCTATATTATATTTCTCTCTCCGATTACATGTGACTTATTTTTGTCCATGAAGTCAGATACATTGAAGCATCTACCGTCAAATGGGTTTAAAGGGACTACAAAAAGAAAATTAAAGTTAAATTTAGATCATATAAAGTTACTCCTTTTGGTATTTGTATACCAAAAACTATTGAAGAGATCATTAGACAAAGCTTTTAAACCTGTAATAAGTACAAACTCTCAAAATTAGCATGGACAATTAATGGACAAAAAATAGTCATTAAACTTCATAACTTGATTGAAATGTATTCAGACCTGTTATTGAAAATAACGAGAAAGTGGAACATGAAATTTTTGAACCATATTCATTATTTTAATTAGTACAGAAGGTATTATAAACAGAGTACTACAAACGATTTCATTCTCAAGAAGCCTACAACACTAAGTTCGAAAGAACTAATAATAATGGTAATGTGTACAGAAGACAGTATACGGAGGCGGCTACAAAGGAATTGAACGTAAACTTAATATCAATAAAAATTATCGATATTACATAGAAAAGTTATTTTACGAATTATTAGTACTTTTATATATTTATTTTTTGAAATATAATTTATTATATAAATACTATATATAGGATTAACATATTAAAATCTATACATTTTGTTTATATAACCCAAATTCGTGTTGTAAAACAAGAAAATAATACTAAGATACCCTAGTTATTCGTCTAGTATAATCAAATAATGACAAGGATTTAAGTATTAGAGAATTCTATATAAAATATGTATACATAGCAGTGATCATAAATATTTTTATAATATATGATATTATATAGGTCATTAAATTACATTTAATATTATATCACATTGTATGTTATATGAAATAATTTAATCTAAATAATTTAATAAAGAATTTCAAATCATATTTTTAAATGAATTTTTTTAATTCTTAAAAAAAATATGAAGTATTTCTGTATAAATATTGTATATTGTATTTTATTACTCAACATATAAATTATATATAATATTTTCGTATAAGAAAGGAAAATAAAATTATATTATTAATTAATTATTATTATTATATTATATCGGTTTCCATTATATTTATATATATTTTTATTTTATATTATTTTTTTTTATATTATTTACTCTTGTGGTATATTATTTTATAATTATTTATATATATTTTTATTTTTTAAAGGGTTTTTTTTATTTTATATAATTATTTTTTTATATTATTTACTCTTATGGTATATCATATAGAATGTATATGTAAAAAGATAGAAATATAAATATATTATTTTATATATTTTTATTCATATATATAAATCTATATATTTTTATTTTATATATTCGTTTGTATAATTTACTTTCTTATTTACTTTTATTATTATATTGTATAATTATTATATTGTTATATAAAATGAAATAAATATTTTTTAAATAAAATTAAATTATTTTTATTATTCATCTTATTTTGTTTTATATTATATTTTTACTCTGTTTTTATTTTAAATATTTTTTATACAATTCTATTAATTTGTTTCTCGTTTATTATATGTTTTTATTTATCTCATATTAATTTTATATTTTACCAGCTTTTATTTTTTTTTTCTATATATATATATATATATATATGTCTTTCTACTACAAAATTTAAATTTTATTTGACATTTGATTGACTGATTTTGCCCTCATTTATTGTAATTATTACCGATTTTATTTTATTTTTTTACTGTTTAATTAATTTACTTAATTTTGGTTGTTTTTGGTGCAGTAATGTCATACTTTGTATCTTTTACGTTGTGATCCCCTCCTGATCTCATGATCTCCTGGACACAAAATTTTATATATTGTATATGTGTTAACATTGTGTTGACCTCGCGCTTTTATGTGATTTAATAAAAATCCATTTAATGCCAGTTTTTCTCATCATTAAAAATCTTAAACATTTGCTTGTGTTTTTTTCAAATGCAACTCTGTTTAATTATCAGTTTTTTTTTTTGTTTTAATTGTTTTTGTTTTATGATTAGTTTGACTATATTTTTTACTCTACTTCTGACTTATTAGTAACAAGGTCTTTATGCTGTCAAGTTGTTAATTATGCTTTTAAGCATTTAAATGATTTTTGTAAGTATTTTTTTTATATTTTATGTATATTTTTCTCCTTCCTTTTCCACTTTTCTATTATAAGCGCCAGTTTAAGTTTTTTTGTTTTTGCTTTTCATAATTTAAATGTTTTTATTGTGTGAATTTTGGCTGCAAAGTGGCATTATATTTTTGTCTCCTTTGATTTTATTGTGGGTTTTGTACTTTCACTTAACTTATTTTTTTCCCTTTAAAAACTATGTGTACGAAAATATTATTCGGATAATTTGATTTAATTTGTATGAAATATTTTTTGACAACTTAAATTAAAAGCTCTTAAAATAATTTTTAATATAATTTAAGTGTTTATTTTGTGTCATGAATACTGCTTTTCTCACGTTTCAAAGTGTTTTCTAAGCCTTGGCTAAATTAGTTATATGACTTATGTAAAACCATTGCAAAGGGGGGTAGTAGAAGCATGCGTTGCGTTATTAGAAAATAAAACAAAAATGTTTTTACCTTTCATCATTTCAGTATTCAGTATCATTTCAGTTTTTATTTACTAATTTTTTTTCTTAACTATTCTAATAATAATATATAATTAATTACAACCACAATAATATAGAAAAAGTTAAGAAGGTAAGCCACTAAGATTTAAATAAATTTTAATTTTGAATTATGTTACATTATTAAAATAATGTTAGAAAACATATTAATGACTCAAAATAAACATATTTCATGTACAATTTAGAATTAATAACAATCCTGTTTCAGCGAGAATGTGTCGCTTTCCGCAAATAATGTATTTTATTGGGCAATAAAGAATTATTTAGTTGTTATAATAATCAAAGTCATAAATTAATACAACTATATCAGCAATTAGAGTTTATAAGATAAAATTAAATAAATTTTTTTTAAAGACATAAAATTTTGTAAATATATATTCCTGTTCCTAAAAACACATTTACGTTAACATATCAATCTTTAAAAAAGGTTGATATGTTATGATATGGTTTTATGAATATTAATATAGACGTAAAATAAATTATATCTCAGAGATAATTAATCGCATGACACAAATAAATAGAAGTTTAAGTGAAAATATTTTTCTCAGTAAATTTAAATAAATTTTAATTTCTAGTTTTGAAAAGTGTTTCAAACGATTTTTTAATATCGAATGTGTGATATTATATAAACATTTTAATATTTCGCAACTGACGTTATCTGAATAATTGCCGTCGGTTAACAGCGATTTTCAATAAAACAATTCACATTGAATTTTCTCAATTTCTGATTTTTATCAATTTTTTTCTAAAATCACATATTTCATGTACACAAAAAAGAAAATTATTAAAAAATGTTAAGAAATACTTACACTAATTAAAAGATTGTTTAGACAATTTTGTTCATCGAAATCCAATTTTTTCTTAATTTTCAATAAAGTTTATATTTTTGTCGTTTGCATTTCTCATTAAATTTTTTTTTTTTTAAAAATATTGTTATTTCACACAAAAGTTTAGTTTTTCTTTAAATTTTCAATCCAAAATTTTTTCTTAAAAACACTTTTCGTTTTATTTCTGTTTTGTTTTTCTTTCAATTATTTAGTTTTTTTTGTTTTTTTCTTTAACAGTAACAAAATTTTTTTTTAATTTTTCACTTGCTTTGACTTGCACTTCTACTTCACTCCTGCGCGTATGTCCACTTCCTACAGAGTCGTGGGTGACACTGACTGAAGGTAGCAGTCGGTGCTACAACAGCGTTGAGAATTCTTCTACAGTCTTCTTCTACACCGCTCAGCCAACGGCAAGCAACACCACCAACAACAAATGTTCTTTGTGTTTTTTTTCTTTTTGTTTGTATATTATTTGTGCTGCTTTGGCGACACTTCGCTTTTGCTCTTCACAACACACACCACAAAATTTTAAAATCCCTATCAACTTATGGCAATGCTATGTAATGTATGCAACAAAAACAACACGCTTGTATCAAAAATTCGGAGAGTACGGTGAGCTGGCACACACACAAAATATATGTACGCACAAGACGACAAGTTCAACGCAACTGCCCACAAATGTCTCAACATTAGTTCAGTTCAGTTCAGTTCAATTCAGTTCAGTTAAATTTTTTCGTGTTTTCTTTTTGTCTTTGCTTTTCTTTACTGTTTTCTATGTTTTGCCTCTTCGCCTTTGGCAATAGTCCATTTTGAGCATAAAATTATCTTGTTTGTAGTTATATATACAAATGCATTTGAGTTCGCCTGGCTTTGCCTTCCCTGAAGTCATATATACTAACAGTTGGGTTTTAATATGGGCGTGCATGTGTACACGGATGAAATGTTATGTTCTTGTGTGTGTGAAAAACAGTGACACACGACTTAAAATATCTCTTAGTATTTTGTCACATATTATGTTTGATAAGTTGAAATTGTTGTTGCAGTTTATTTTTTTGTGCTCATTCTTTTTTGTAAAAGTGTGTGTGCGAGCGCATTATACAGTACAGAGAGTTATTTTAAGAGTAAATTTGCCTGAGTGGTACTGTTCATACGTAAACCAATATTCAAACTTCAGCGTTTCATATAAATTGAGCAAGTTCTTAAGAGTATTTTCATGCGAAAAGTCGATAACACAGTATGAATGTATATTTTAAATTTTTGGTTTTAATTAATGTAAAATCAGCTGAGCATACTCACATTTTTTTTCATTGAAATTACTATTTTTTGTTTCAGAATAATTTTCAAAAATTTAATGAATCAATTTCTAAAATTTTATTAACGAATTATAAACTGCTTAAAATACAAAATAATTTAATTTTAGTTCATGTAACTCATACATATGTATGTATGTATGTACCTTCAAAAATTAAAATTTTACTACTTATTATAGGAGTGTAATTCTTGACGATATTATACTAATATTTATAATGAAACTAATAAACCAAGTCACTAAGTCACTAACTAATAAAATAAGTCACTAGGTATTCCAATATATTTTAATTGCTAGGCAAATACTCTTCTTAAACTATTCGAAATATGTATTTTTTGGTAGTATTTACGTGTATTATTTTTTATTTCTTCTGCAAATTTAACTATTCTATTTAAGCCCCTAAAACTTAGTAAAATAGTAAGTTGGTTTCAATAATTGTTGAAATTTGCAATATTAACCCAAAAATAATAAATCTACAAGAAGTGGCGTCACACATATTACCACTCTTCTCCAAATGTCCTTCATAGCACAGCAGTCTATATTAATTATGCTAATAATCAACATATTTATATTTTGTTGAAAAATTTACTTATAATTTCTCTTACTCCATACCTGCGATATAAACAATTTTTTCACATTTAACTTTTTTCTTTTACGCTCTTTTCATTTATTCTTACGTGGTACATTGCTTGCCATTGCAATGCTCTTTAGAGTGCTACATAAAATAAATAAGGACATGGAATTTACATTTATGGGACCTCTACACTGCAATAAGAAGACAGAAGTTATGTGTTTACTTGCTTACATCTTTACACTGCTTGCAAAACCGTATATGTTGCTTTCATTCACACAATGTCGCCTAGCTTTGATACTGGACCATATATACATACGGTTGACATGAGACATTGGTGACCGTCGTGTAGTCATCGTTGTTTTATGCTCCCCCTTCTCAATAGGCACACATTCGTTCGTTCGTTCACGTTTGACAATATTTACTCCAAACTTTGCTCTCTTCAGCTACTTTTGCTAATCCATAACATTGCTTGCTCTCTATATAGCTTATTGCTCTTGCAGTGCCGCCGGTGTTTGTCGTCGCCCATTTATGTCTTTGCGTGTGACAGAGTTGAAATGAGTTGATTTTAGCATTCGTATGAATGAAAAGGCAATTTCAATTGTGTTGTGCTTGTAGTTGTAGTTGTCGTACACAGCACAGTGCTCTTGTGTTTATTGTTGTTGTTGTTGTTGATATTAATGTTATGCTTTGTTGTTGCTGCTTGTGGGTTTACATTTTTTATACTTCTTAAATTTGTCATTTGTATGTCTCCTAAGCAGTGTGTCTCTTTTCAGATTATACCTTAATTGTGCGCATTGCCTCTCCCTCTCACATCGTCATATAGTTCATACAGTTTTGTAGGTATGTAAATTTTATACTGTTTTGATTTCAAGTGACATTTTAATATGGGGGCGCAATATTGTTGCTGCTTGCACCAATGATATTGCAGATTTGGTGACAAAGGCATTAGTTGCATAGGTGGGTACCTACTCATTGGTGATATGCTGTATTATGTACTTGGTATATTAGGTAAAATCGCTATATACATATATAATATGTATTAAAAAACGAAATATTTCTATTATAAGACGCGAACCATTTTTCTGTTTTCTAAAGTATTTTTTCCACGCTTACTAAAAACTATTTTTGGAAAAATAAAAAATAGATATTATCTCGATCTACTATATTAAAAATATGCAAATCGTATATAAAATATACTGTTTTATAATATATATATTTTTAATTTATTTTAATGTATTTTATAATATTTAATTATATTTTATAATAAATGACATTTTCCATTTTATTATTATTACAGTAAATATACATATATGCAAATATACAAATATATACCATTGGTATTATACTTTTGATGCTCTTTTTAATATATTTTCAAGTTAAAACATTTTAAACTAAACAGCCAGGGTCATATATCACATTAATTAGTTGAATTTCAAAATTTTATAAATTTAATATTTTATAAAAACCAGGTAAGAAAATTAATATAATAAATATATGCATATACATAAACAGGTTCTCATTATGCTAGGTATATAAAATTGTAATTGTAATATATTTTCCGAACGATATGGTGACCTTGTAGGAATGTTTTTTTGCCTAATTTACTTTATTTATAGTTTAACCACGTATGTTGTTAATTACCTTATGTATATCTATGTATAACCTAGATATAGTGTAAATTTTATACACAGCTGGTTCTATATATTATTTGATCTGTAAGAGTTATTTTTGCGAATAACAGTTTTAATAATAAAAAGAATTCTCATATTAGGGTTCTATAGTTAGAGACGATGGAACTAGGGTGTCCATTATCTAATAACTGTGACTGATCGCACAACTGACAATACATTAAGTCACTATTTTATAAATAGAGGTATGGTTTTTTTTAATTTAAATTAAATTTTTTAATAAAAATTTTTAATCTAAATTTTCTAAATTAAAAAAGATTTTTTCGTAAAAATTTTATTACTTTTAATTTAAAAAACATTTTCAATAGCGTTTAATTTGCAATTTCTTCTTTATCGATATATTTTTTTATTAAAATATTTTTTATTAATTATTTGTATATATTTTAAGTTAATTTCTTAATGATAAGACTTATTAATATTATCCTAAGAAATTTGAACGTTTTAAATTTCAGTAAAGTTCTTCTTAACTTGGCCCATATTTTGACTAAAATTGTGTAAACCAGAAACCAAATAAAAAAAAAACAAAATAGCAAAAGAAAAATGATTTTGCCAAAACTAAATTTGCCGTCGGCAGCCATTGTCTGAGACTTGCGCCAAAAATCATTTCATTCAAGCACTCGTACAACTACTCTAACACCGCTCCTCGTCTACACAAGCATATATATGACGTAGGTATGACTTGTGTATGCGAATGTATGTGCATGTGTATGCGCATAGTGCCACTTAACATGCAGAAGCATTCGATGTTTGTTAACATTTCTCAGCCTACGACCGCCACTTACACTTGCAGGCAACTGCCAAATCTGTAACTGCATTCAATAAGCCGTTCAGCCTACTTACGTTCTTTTCCTCCTCCTTTCGTTGACTCCCGAAAAAGCGCCTTCAATGCGCTTTCACATACAAAAATTTACTTTTATTGGCGCCAAACTCTTCAAGCACACACGACTGTCCGTAGAATTCAACATTGAAATAAATTTCAATACTAAAATGCAAAAACGCAGATACGCAAATACGCAAATACGCAAATACACAGATATTCGTACCTCTAAGACTGCGTTTTAAATTGATAATAACAAAAATACATGAATTTGTTAATATTTTGCTAAAATGCGGTATTTAATGTGATCAAAAAAAAATCTAACCTAATTTTTAACTTTAATTAATTTTAATTAATTTGATTATTTTCACTTATTTATTTCATTTTTTGTCAAGCGTTATTTAATATTCTATAAATATTACATTTATTTTTTAGTTTATGTTTATATATATAGATATATGAACGGACTTATTGGTCAATATTAAATAATACATAAATTTTTGAATTAGTTTTCGAAAATACATATTATTGTCATCGATATTTGTTATAATCTATAGTCATTTTTATGGCCCTAAAGATTGTAACCGAAATATTAATGTCAATAAAATATATTTCATAGAACTAATTTACGAAGTTGTGTATAATTTTACATTGACCAATGA